CTTTGCGAAAACGTTGATCCGATTACCCTGATCATCAGCTGATGTAGTTTGCCTTTTTTTAATCGTGTTCATTGAAGAAAGATGAAAACAGTCTGTGAACGGGTTAATCGGATCAGCGTTTTCGTAAAGGCCTACTTACTTCCATTAGGAATTTACAACCTCTTCAAAATTTAAATTTTCTGAAGCATTGGGATTCTTAAGAATATTTTCAACTATTGTTACTTTATTTGTTACCTGGAACACGGTACTGGCAGTGGTTCTGGAAACATGTTACCGTTGAGTTATTCTATTGAACAACAGGCATTAGAAAATCTTGTTGTGTCCAGAGCCTACTTTGAGCATTCACTTTTAACGTAGCTATAGGTAATTATTCTATTTCTTACAGCTTTCCGCTCAGTCTTTATGTAAATAGGGATAGCAAATCGCTTCGTTTGTGTACAATGCTAGCAAGTCAAGATCAAAGATTTCCTTTTGGAGGGCCCCGGGGTGCAATTTAAATATCCGCAATCGTATTTTTCTTTGAATGCAAGTTGATTTTTCTCTTGATTGCTTGAAGTCGAAAGGGAAGCAATATTTTTCACCCGGCTTATTTCTTTTTAAAAGCGTTTCCTTACGCTGCTAGCAAAATGCAAATACGAAATTACAAGTATGTTTCACACAACAAAATTGTATCTAATTAGAATATAATATATTTCGAATTCACAATTTTTACTCACGTATATAATACTCACACATATTATTAGAAAATTGGTTTACAAAAGAGTACCTATATTGCTAAAATATTTTGGACTGTCCATAAATCTTTGGATAACAGAAAACCATCTGGCAGTTTTCATGGACCTATATGGAGTATGTATATATAGTATATAACACTGACCGTATAGTGTCGAATATAAAACTCTATATTCTACGGGTCATGGTATTGTTTCACATGATGTATTGTCGCTGTCAGAAGCATTTATGGATCTGTTATTTGATAAACTTGCGTGCATAGAAAGCGGCCCATTGCTAACTTTTGACTCTTTATTTTATAGAAACTATTCCCCAACCCATAAACAAATGAGTATTTATGTTGTGGTTCAACAAGAAGGACAGGCTTGTTTATTATTTTCTTTGAAATTGCAACTTGCATTGTAGGTATTGTAGTTACATTCTCACGGAATAATCAAGCCAGTAATTGAAATTACTATATCTTATTTTCATCAATTTATAGGGACCAAACAAGCAATTCAATTTCCAGGAACTTAAACTTTTGAATTATTATCGGAAAGTACTAATAATTTTAACGTCTGTTCTTTATGTTTTCTTCCGCTTTTAATTAACTTTTCTACAAAAGTAGGAAATTGCTCATAAGCTGGAGGAAGTACTAGGCTTACGTCGTTCACATACTATTCTTATTTATTTAGGGGAAAACACAAAAGCAAGGCTTTTACTCAATGGGCCATTTTCACGTGCCGGGAACACGGCAAATTATTATATTTTTTGACACAGATACATGAACGAAATCGAAAATGAACAATATTTTGCAAGATTTTAGTTGGATTATTAAATAAATTAATAAATAAAAATGAAAAATTCAAACAAAAAATCACGTGACTGAAAACGCTGTCTCATTGGCTAAAGTCGATATTCATGCTTTTGTTGCCACATTTAAAAATACGAAATTTATATGAGTTCAACGATTTTACCTATTCTTTATTTTTCTATAGCGTAGTAAAGGACGAACATAGTTTCTGGGTAGTGAGTTGTGTAATGATTTACTAACAAGGAGTTTGGCATCCTCGCATTTTCGGGCAAGTGACGTCACTTGCCGTGCCCGCACAGCAGTTCAAAAATTAGATTTTCAAATCATTTTATTTCCGAAAATAGACGTTTTTTTTTTTTTTGGAGAAAAAGTATAGAGATGTTATTAGAATGACTTACAGAATAATTAATGTTTTTGGAAAATGTGGAATTGGGTCATAGTAAGGAACTTGAAAAGGCGCTCTAGCTCAATAACGGCTCAACCTAGAACAACGATTTTTGGTATACTCGTTGAACACTTACCGACAATGCTAATGTAAGGGTTTTCGTTCGCAGATATACAGGGTGTCCCAAAAACTATGCGCCACTAACAAGACCGGTAAATGATACGAAGTTGATTATATTAGAAAAAAGTTACCGTTTTTTGAAGTTACCAGAGATACGTTTTTGTTGCTGTCCATTTTTTATTCCTTTTCAAGATAAGGCGCTCTTTGTGTTCGGAAATATTTTGTCGTTTAGGTATTAAAAAAACTACTTATTTTAGAAGAATAGTTTAAATTCGAAAGCTCTTTAGGTTTATCTGCTCTACAAGATTGGGACCTGAAATTTTGATATTTATCGAAAAAAGGGTGGGATGATTTGCCAAGGGAAGCTAAAAACTTTTGCCAATTTTTCATATCATAAAACTGCTTGTACACAAAGTTTAAATATAGGACATAGTATCTCCACAGAATATCTCAATTTATGTAAACGCAGATCAATACAAAAACTCTAGACGATGCGTCATAGGTGACCCGATGCTCTGGAGACTTATTATTCTTGCTTTTCATTGTCCAGCAGCAGTAGTGGCGGCGAGAGAAAAGTTATTTATTTTGGGAAGTTCCCAGCTAATACATCATTTTTACGAGCTGCTCGTTGGTGTTTTATGAGCAATAAGGTTGACAACATAAGTCAAAGAGCTGACGAATTTTGTAGACAGTGATTGCATTTTGGACTTGTTATTTTGGATCTGTATTGAATAAAAACAAATATGTTTCCTCAATTTATCCTGAATTAAGAGGGGCGTTTAAATAAAATGTCATTTACAGACCTTCACAAATTTCTGTTCAATTCCAAATTTAGACCACTTTTCAGTGAAATGAAGTTATGTTCATAACAATAATAGATTGGAGTATAGTTCGAAGCATTTCTGGTTTCAAAATACGCATTCTAAATAGTAAAATTATTACCAATTTTGTTGACAACAATATGCAAATTTTGGTCACGGATTTAAGTGAAAAAGGGATAAACATATAGAATAGTACACCAACAATAAATTTCCAAAATTTCGGATAGTAAAATGCTGGAAAAAATGAATAGATCAGAATTTTCGAAAATTATGATGTTTGTATCACAAAATTAATCAAAATCTGCCAAACAACAAGGTGATTGCTGTCATTTTCAGCAAAGACTCAAACCCAATGAACTAGAGCTAAAAACTGGAATGCGCACACAGTGCCATATCAGCCAAAAAAATGAAGCCATGAAAGACAGATGCCACAACGGGGAATGTTGTTTTTTTCTGTTGCTCGCTGACATATGACGTTTTCGAAAGTTTTGTCATATTTCCCTTCACAGGTTTCATCAATTGGAATACGTGTTGGAAGCAATTTTCGCCATTTAACATAATGAGTGCGACAAAAACAGGTATCCCCTCCGCAGCAGCCGCACTAGGCTTCACGTTCGTCCTTATGTGTTGGCATTCCAGTTTTTGGTTATAGTTCATTGCTCAAACCAAACGTGTGTTCAGTGCTTCTCTAAAAGATGTCGCTGAGTTCGGGAAGGGTAGTCACTTCTTTTAAACGCCAGTAAAAACTGTTTTACCTAGCTAGAAATGTGAAATACTATTATTTCATTTGTATCTGAATAAAATTATTTAGTCCACTGTAAATTACTGTGTAAACGAATTGATATTGAAGATGTCGCCATCTACTTGTAAATAAGTCAATCATTTACAGAGAATTTGAACACCTGTAATTAAAAAGTATTTAATGTATGTTATAAAGCCCAAAAGATGGCGCGCGGGCTCTTATCGGACGCCCCTCTTAAGACCAATTCATGATACTGTTATGGATTCACTAAAACTTCACAAACAGTAAAACTTTTCTTTTATCAAACTTATTAACTTTATATAAAATTCACTTATTACTTATCGAAATATACACGACAAATATCAACCTAAAACTGATTCAAATTATGCCTACGCTCTATATACAGCGTTGGCAAAAAGAATGGAATACCTACAGAGATTTGAAAACTATCTTTTTCTTGAAAAATCGCTCGGACCCGTGAATTTTATTTTTAAGCTGCTTATTTTTTGGAGAAAAAAAAGTATACAGGGTGTTCCAAAAATGGTGTTACCTGCATAAAGTTTTTTATTTTAAATGGCAACCCTGTATATTATTGCATTTTTTAATTCTACTAAAAATTATAGAAATATTTTATGTATAATGTCCTATACCTATCAACTGTTTCGGAAATATTGACAGTTGATAATTGACTTTTTGGTACCTTTGACAACATTACATAAAATGTTATATCATGAGAGGTGGATAAAAGTTAGAGAACGGTTCCAAAATTAGCGATCATCTAGAAAAACATGATTGTGCACTTTGTATTCATGCAAAAGCTCATCGCTTATCATTTGGTATAAGTAGGTACTTGAGAGGATGTAGCGCCACAAAACGTATTTTCAAATAACTTTTCATCAAATTATGTACCCCAAACTATCAGTAATTTTTGCCTCGACTTACTCATTGAATAAATTACCTTCGTTTTTGTCCTTGTTCCAAGTTTGACCTTATATTCAAACAGCTGGAAATAACACAACGTTAACAACTTTTTACTGTCCCTTTGAATTTCATTTTGCAGATCATACCACTCACCCTAAGTTCTGTGGGATTATGAAGGACGATTAATTATTCTAGATTGTTTAATTGTTCGGCACACTTGCCGAGTGTATACAATTGCTTATACATGCTTTGTTGGCTGGAAGTCTGCCTTTATTAGTATATTTATTTCGTATAATTTTGGGGTCACTTAGCGGGTAAAATAGGGCAGATATATTGCTATTTTCGGCGCAATCCTAAATTTCAAATGGTTAATAAAACCATTGAAAATAATTTTTGGCTTTTTTTCACAGAAAGGGGCATTTTTTTCCACCAAGGATAGGTTATTACATGTAAAAAACTAAATTAATTTAATATATATTTTTTCAGACGTGATTATCTCATCAAACCTAGGTATATCAAATCTCTACAAACAAACTAGCAAATATAATATCGCGGTAATCCTGCTATTGAGAAGCGTCGCGACGGAGTCTAGGCGACGCCTAAATGTCTGCCGCCATCTATTGAAACTTGTAGACATTCGTAAAAAATGCAACGTCGTCGATGTGGACGTAAGATGTGATGAGACAGTGAACAATTTGAATACATAGGAATATTGTAATTGAATTTAAATATCATAATGATTGTCGCATTCGAAACTTTTAAGCTTTCAAAATACATACAAAATCATCCTGACTCACGCCAGAAGCCGGATTCTCGTCTCAGGGAGTAGAGCTTTAGAGGATTTCAACTCTATAGACAATCTCTCCAGTGACAGCTGCATATATATATTAAAATAATGGATACACGTCATCAAAATTTATGACGTTAGCATGTCGCAATGTTGCCGCATGAACTTCGTTTTACTTTGACATATCATCGCTAGTAAAGTGTCATTTTTCCAGGAATTATATTTTTCGTTCAGTAAATCTTGTTTTTAAAACCTATTTATTTTATTAAAAACTAAGAAGTTACAACAAAAAAACTAGATTCTAAATTGCTGCGGCAAAAGCCGAGAACAAAAGAATCTTTGATTCTAATTGCTATAGTCAAAGCTACAAAACAAGGCAATGAGGAGAGAAGGCTCTGCGCGCCGTATTTGTAATAAAATACTGCTGACGCCTGCAATCTTGTGGGCGAAACCTTGATATGACGGTACTTTTCCAGGCAGTACCGCTTACTCAGTATTTTTCTAATATCGTGGGCTTTTACAGTGGCGTAGGCTTATGTTTGCCATTGAAAAGGGGATTTATTTGTATAATAATCACATAGGGTTTTATAATATAACTCAGGTTACATTTTTAATAATAATAATAATAATAATAATAAGACGTTTATTAACTCAAAAAGTAAATACAAATAACATTTTACATCAGCTTACTTACACGACTAGATGAGTTAAACGGCCCATATTTCAGCCTATTTTGCGAGGTCACGCATGATCTCACAAATGCTGTTGAGGCCTCAAATATAATAGCAACAAATTAAAACAGAATAAAAGAAAAATTAACCAGAGTACAGAGATTATTATTATCAACTAGAAAATAAAACTAAGCGAAAATAAATCGACAAGGAGTGTAGGTAAGGGACGGAGAGAGAGGGGTAAAGAGAGGTAAAGCACACATTTGCAGGAATGAAAAAAAATAAATAAATAAAATCAATTCACTATTAATAAAAATAATACTGAAAAAAAAGTATCGTACACACATACGTATACCGAACAAGTCAACAAATTTAATATCAAAACACTATATTCGTACGAGCTGCGATTGAAATAATTTAGTTTTAATTCGTTTTTTAAGAAATGCAATCGAAGTGGAAAAATCCACTATTTGAAATTTGTTTATTATGTTAGCAATATTGTATGCAAAAGACTTTTTGAAAAATTCTTTGTTATGGCGTGGTATCGTTAAAATATGGCTACATCTAAGGTTGCGGTTATGGATTTGATTACGATATCGCACTTTTTCTACAAGATACCTAGGAGACTTTTTTTTAAGAATTTTATAAAAAAATATTGCGGAATGCATCACTCTTCGACTATACATATTCAGCCAACCTGCATCCTGCAGTCTATACGTGATTCGTTCTCTTCTGCGTATTCCGTAAATTAGCCTTAGACAACAGTTTTGCAATTTCTGGATGCGCCTAGAATCGTAAGTAGTTAAGCAAGGACCATATATAACATCACAATAATTTAACGGTGATAAGACCATCGCATCGCACAGCATTCTTTTGGCATCTTGATGTAAATATTTTCGATGCGAATAAAGCAATTTCAAGTTGCAGTACCCTAAACTAATCTTGCTTGTAACGTGTTCAGTAAATTTTAGTTTATTATCCATTATCAGACCTAGGTTTTTAGAATAATTCTGGAAGGGCAGATTTGTACCATCAATTTTCAATGACATGTCACCAACAATACCAGCCCGATGCACCTCGCTACAAAAAAGAAGTGCAACTGATTTAGAGGGATTAATTTGTAGTTGATGGTCCTTTGCCACCTGAGACAACGTTCCAAGGTCCTCATTCAAAAAAGTACAAGCTTGCTGACTCTGTGTGGGACTAAATGACAGTAGTATTTGTTTGTCGTCTGCGTAAGTATGACTACTGCAGTGTTGCAAGTATTTGTCGAATTGTGAGGTATAAATTGTGAACAGAAGAGGGCCCAAAATACTTCCCTGAGGAACTCCGGCGACCACCTCACAAGGATCCGACATTTTATTATCAAGGGTAACATACTGTTGACGATTTGATAAATATGACTGAACTAAACCAAAAGCAGTAAATTCTAAACCAATATACTTTAATATTGATAGAAGTAAATCATGATTTATTAAATCAAATGCCTTAGTAAAGTCCAATAATACAAGAACTGATGCTTGATTACTGTCAAGAGCGGCCAATATATCATCTGTTACCTTAGAAAGAGCTGTGCAGCAGTCATATCCTCTACGAAATCCGGATTGGTTTGCTGGAAACAGTTCATTAGTATCCATGTAACTTCGAATTTGGTCTTCCATTACCTTTTCAAGGACTTTTGATAGAACTGGAAGTACCGATATAGATCGAATTTGTGAAAAGGAGGAGGCATTTTGAACTTTTGGAAGAGGAATAATTTTGGCTTTTTTCCAGAGTAGTGGAAAATATGAATTTTCTATACAAAGATTAACAATGTGCAAAATAGGCTTAATTATGACAGGAAGAGCTAAAAGTATTATTGTTACATTTAAATTGTCCAAACCGAATGCCTTACTCTTTATGTGAGTGATTAAGTCTTTAATATAATTCTCTGTAACCAACTGAAATTGAAATCTGCAGTTTCCTATACTGTTTTGGTTATAAAAATTAGAAATATTCTGATTTATTGGAGGTAGATTTTGAGTTACTTCAGAGAAATATTTATTAATTTTATTCACATCTTTTAGTTCTTGTGTCAGATTGAGTTTTTTAGATGGCTTACAAATATCTATTTTTTTAAATTCTTTCCACATTTGATGTTGCTTAGCATGAGATAATTTAAAGTTAAGATACGCTTTCTTCTCTTTTCTTATAGCTGAAGTTGTCATATTTCTCAAGTTTTTGTACGAAAGCCAGTTGTTATCATTTTTAGTTTCCCTAAATCTATTCAAAGCCTTATTTCTTAATTTTATCAATAAACGAACATTATCAGTAATCCAGGGTTGAAATGGTTTATCTTTGTTTTTGATAGTCTTAAGAGGAGCATGAATTTCAAGTACTTCTAGTAATGAATTGGTCAGATAATCAACTTTCGTGTCAATATCACGCAAGGCATAAAATAAGTTCCAGGGTAAATTACGCAGATCTTCCAAAAAAAATATCCGTATTTATTTGATCTATTTTTCTAAATGTGAAGGTAAAACTTTCTTTTATGCTACATTCAATTTCTATATCACAAAAAATAAGCAAATGATCGGATATCTGTATATCTCTCACCCCAGAACCAAGAATATTATCCATACTGGAAAAAAAAAGATCAATAAGAGTACTAGAATTCCTAGTAACACGAGTCGGTCCTGAAATTATTTGTTTTAAATTAAATGTCTCCAAGGTATCCAGCAGCATTTTAGCGCTTGAGCAACCCAAATCAAGCAGGTTTATGTTCATGTCACCCATGATGCAGATTGAATCATATCTAGAATAAAAATCGGTTAGCAAATCTTCCAAAAAACCTATAAAATCTTTACAATTACCAGCAGGTGGACGGTAAATGTTGCCAATCAATATTTTTTTCTTATTCACAATAACTTCCACCCATATATGCTCTATCATGACGTCAGTTGCCATTAAAATTATATTGTATTTAAGTGACTTAGACAAATAGATGCCTACCCCACCACCTCTGGTGCCCCTGTCCTGTCGAATAAAAGCATAATTGTTGATGTCAATTGATTCACTACTTATGGTGTTCTGAAGCCAAGTTTCTGTGATACCACAAATGTCATATTTGTGTTGACATAAGTGATTTTGAAATGTATTAAAATTATTAACCAATGATCTTGCATTAATGTGTGCTAATTTTATCATATTTGAAAAGAGATGAGGATAAGGGATAAGGAGGAAATAAGGAAGGGAACAGAATTTGTCGATTATTTAGTGTTATATATAAAAAAAAAAAAGAAATTAAAAATACCTAGTAAGAATAAAAGAAGTCCAACCCATCAAAACTTGCAGGTATGCCTGCCCGAGAAAAAAAAAACTATAAATAACGCTAATCCACTATCAATTACACAATTTGCCAAATAAAATATAAAAAAAAGCAAAAATAGAAGGAACGCAAAAGGGGAGAAAAAAAAAACGAAAAAAATCATAACAAAAAAAAAAAAAAAAAATATTAGAATTATTCCAATACACCAAAAATTAATCATGCCTGGACCAGATAGGTTATCAAAAAACAGAAAGAACAACAATAATTACTTATTATGTACAAAAAAAAAATTTATTCTACATTGATAATAAACAAATTCTTCTTGAAACCGTAAACCATAAAACTACAATATTTTTTGTTTATTTCTATAAAGATACCCATAATATACACATAGGCATACATTTTCCTTTTAACAATATTTATTTATATATTTATTTTTACTTTTGAAATTCAATATAAACCCACTATAGGAACATAATATATAAATTCTTTTTTGCGAACTATAGTATTGTTTCACATGTATTTTCTGTTGTAAAAAACATGCATAACGATCCAAAATCAATAAGAGTTAAATAGGCAGTATTGGTATTGGTAATATGCATTATATAAAAAAAAAAAAAATTGATAATAATATAAATAAACAAATAACACCAACTGCATGCATAGAGGAAAATGAAAAATTCTTATTACCTTGATTGCACTAGGACACTAGAAGATTATTCCAGCACGATTTGATCGCCCAAATCTGATTCACTATCAACCCGACGAACATTGCCATTTGTACGAACATAAATATTACCATTAAGGCACCACGCGTTTTTTATTGAAAATTTTGATATTGCAGCCGATAATAGATCTGCCCGGCGTTTAGTAAGATCTTCTTGAATGAAAACACCGGAATTTTTGAGTTTGGATCTGTTTTTAAGAACGTCGGAACGCTTG